CCCGGGCTGGGCTCAGCCCAGCCGTGCCCATCCCCCTCCTCGCCCCCAGGCCCACCCGTGGGCCCCCTCTGCTCAAGTGACACCTGCCTCACCACAGACAGTCGCTGCTTTGCTCAGCCCCTCACCTCACCTCTGGGGCGCTGGCGCTCTCTCACTTCCTCCCCAGAATCATTTCCTCCTCAGCCCCAGATGAAGCTGGGTAGCCCCTGGGGTGGGGGTGGGGGGCCCATTCTGCCCCTGGCTCCTTCCTGCCCTGGCCCAGCCTCTTGACCCTCCACCTGCCTTTGTCTCCTGCCCCCCACGGACGGCTGGGCTCTCCCCTCCCCATCACCCTGATATCCAGAGAGCTGCCCCCCATCTTGTCTAAGCCGCTTCTGCATCACTTGGGAGAGGCAGGATCTCTCTTCATTTAAGGCAGTACTAGGTTTGCAGTCAGAGGCACCCCACTCTCTGCGACTCAGTTTCTCCCTCTGCAAGTCTAAACTGACAACCTCATGCCTCGGCCCCTCGAGCCCAGGCTAGACTATAGCTGGGCTTCCTCGGACTTCCAGTTCCCACGTGGGGGCCCACAGCCAAGCTAGACCCCCGACCCCCCCCCCCCCCCCCCCCCCGCCCCGGGCACGGAAGGTCCCACTGTCCAGGGTCCTGAAGAGCCCGAGGAGGGCTACCAGCACAGCTGAGGGCCTGCCACGATGGAGGGAGGGGACGGACTTGTTCTGGGGGCTCAGGCGGAGGCCGCGCATCCTTTGGGATGTCCCTTCCTGGGAGGTGCCCCCCCCAGGCTTCCCTTCCTTCCAGCTCCACTTCCCTGCTCTCCCCTTGACCTCCCGCCCCTCCCCCGGGGTCGTCGTCGTCATCATCATCATCATCACTACAGCGAACGTTTGTGTAGCGCTTTAAAGTTTGTAAAGAGCACTGACAGCCCCATTTTACGGACGGGGCAACGGAAGTAGGCAGAAATTGAGAGAGGTGCCAGGGGTCGGGAGCAGCTGGGAAGCGGGCGTATTCGAACCCGCAACTTGGGATCAAAGTGCAGCGCTGTGGGCAAAGCGCCACCTCGCGGCCCATTTCCCTCTTCTTTCTCCGCCTCCCCCTAAGCCCCGCCCCTCTTCCGCCGCAGGCCGCGCCCACTCCTCCTCCGCCATGCTCCCGTTCGCTCTTCATTTCCTGGTCCTGGCCCTCTTCTCGGTTTCTTTTCCGGCTCTGGCTGTAGCCCCTCCCTATCCCTCCTCCTATCGGGGCAGCCCCTTGGCCCATCGGTCCCGCCCCTCTCCTCCTCCTATCCGGGCCGTCGGCTCGCTCGCCGGTCCCACCCCTCGTCTCCTTCTCCTCCAATAGGGGCCGTCCTCCGGCTCGTTGGTCCCGCCCCCTTCCTCCGCCGTCGCCGAGGCTGCTCCCCTCCCGGCCGGCGGGCGGCGCTGTGGCGCGCGGCTCGGGGCGGGGCCTGGGCGGGGGCTGAGGCCGCGGGCAGAGGGCGGAGGGCGCGGCGGCGGCGGCGGCGGCGGCGGAGGCGTGAGCGGGCGGCGGGAGCGGCGGCGGCGGCGGCGGCGGTGGGCACGGGCCGGAGGGACGTAGCCGGGGCCCTCGGGGTGGCGCCGCCATGTCCGACAGCGAGAAGCTCAACCTGGACTCCATCATCGGGCGGCTGCTGGAAGGTACCGGGCGGGGACCGGAGGCCCGGAGGCCCGGAGGCCCGGGCGGGGGCGGGGGGCGGGGGCGGCCGGAAGCGGGGCCGGGGCCCCGCCGGAAGTGGCCGCGGGAGGGGGGCGCCCGGGACAGAGCGGGCCGGGCGGAAGTGCCGCGGGGGCCGGGGGGGGGGGCCCGGGGCGGGCGGGCTCTGAGACCCGTGTCCAGTGCAGGGCTCCCGACCCGGCAAGAACGTGCAGCTGACGGAGAACGAGATCCGCGGCCTGTGCCTCAAGTCCCGGGAGATCTTCCTGAGCCAGCCCATCCTCCTGGAGCTCGAGGCGCCCCTCAAGATCTGCGGTGAGCCCCCAGCCCGCACTCATCGGGCGCCCCTGTGTGCCGGGGGCTGTGCCAGGGCCACAGGTGGCGAGCTTCGGGGCAGAGCTCGCACCCAGGCCCAGCCGGGCCGAGTGCTCGTGGAAGGGACGTACCCGATCCTGAGGGATGAGCCGGGAGAGGGGTAGGAGAGGCCTGGCAGGCGGGTCACGGCCTCTACAAAGGCCTGGAGGTGGGAGATCAGGCCTGGGGCAAGGTCTTGAGCAGTGGAGTGGGGGGGTGTGATTCGGGCCACACCTCTGGTGATCTTTGCAGACCCCTCCCCAGTAGGTCAGGACAAGGCCTGTGACTGGCTGTACAGAGGTGGGCTACCTTGCCGCGCCCTAGGAGCCTTGGGTGGGGGCGGGGGTGGATGGGGCCAGAGTCACCCCAGGCTCAGAAGCCAGCACTCTTTCCTGAGCGGCCCCTCCCAGTCCAGGCCGCCCAATCACCGGACTCCTCTCTCCCAGCGCAGGTGACATCCACGGCCAGTACTACGACCTGCTCAGATTGTTTGAGTATGGGGGCTTTCCCCCGGAGAGCAACTACCTCTTCTTGGGGGACTACGTGGACCGGGGCAAACAGTCCTTGGAGACCATCTGCCTGCTGCTGGCCTACAAGATCAAGTACCCCGAGAATTTCTTCCTCCTCCGAGGCAACCACGAGTGCGCCAGCATCAACCGCATCTACGGCTTCTATGACGAGTGTGAGTGGGGGGACCGGGGCCCCACCCCTTAAGCCTTTCCTTTCCATGCCATACCCTTCCCTTCTCCTCAGGGCTGAGTGGGGATCAGAACCCGGGCCCCGTTAGCAGCCTGTCCTCACCGATCCCTCCCCGCCCCCACAGGCAAGAGACGCTACAACATAAAGCTCTGGAAAACCTTCACGGACTGCTTCAACTGCCTGCCCATCGCAGCCATCGTAGACGAGAAAATTTTCTGCTGTCACGGAGGTGAGGCTTGGGGTAGGGGGTGTCCGTGACCCCAGTTCCTCCGGAGGGTGGGAGGGGCTCAAGCCTTAGGGCCTGAAGTAGGGGATCCCACAAATCCTGTTGACTCAAGCTTGGGCACTGGGCGGGTCAGGGCTGAGGCGCTTAAGAGGAGGCTGCCTTCCCCAGGCCTGTCCCCAGACCTACAGTCCATGGAGCAGATCCGGCGCATCATGAGGCCCACAGACGTACCGGACCAAGGGCTGCTGTGTGACCTCCTGTGGTCAGACCCTGACAAAGATGTGCAAGGCTGGGGGGAGAACGACCGTGGCGTCTCATTTACTTTTGGAGCCGAGGTGGTGGCCAAGTTTCTTCACAAGCATGACCTGGACCTCATCTGCCGAGCGCACCAGGTCGGAGACTGGGGCTGGGGGCAGGACAGCCTGGCCTGGCCCAGAGGGAGGAGTGCTGATTAAGCTTTGCTTTGGCCCAGGTGGTAGAAGATGGCTACGAGTTCTTTGCCAAGCGGCAGCTGGTGACCCTCTTCTCTGCCCCTAACTACTGTGGCGAGTTTGACAATGCAGGAGCCATGATGAGCGTGGACGAAACCCTCATGTGCTCTTTCCAGGTGGGTGAGCCCAGGGCTGGAAGGGAGGGGAACTTTCCCGGAACCAGCCCCCCCCCAGGGCGGCCCCTCTGACCAGCCCCATCCTCTCTGCAGATCCTTAAACCAGCCGACAAGAACAAAGGCAAATACGGGCAGTTCAGTGGCCTGAATCCTGGCGGCCGCCCCATCACCCCACCCCGCAACTCCGCCAAGGCCAAGAAATAGCCATCCCAGGCATGACTGACTGTACAGAAATCCTGGCTCCTCTTGGCGTCTCTGACGCCCAGGAGGGCCTCTAGTTGCAGGGAGCACCAAACCTTGGTGTAATTTTCTTTTATAAAACAAAATCAAATAGAGTCTAATCCCCTCTAGCCCTGATCTGTCTCCCCCCACCCCCGCCCCCACCCCCCAAGCTGGATCCTGGGTGGGGGACCTGGGGAGGGAAGAAGAAAGCTTGAGTCCTGCCTGGGCTCAGCTGCCCTGTCTCTTGGGTCAGGAGGTTATGGGGACACCAGGCTCTGTGCCCTTATCTGGTCTTTTTTGAATAAATGTCAAAGCTGGATTCTCACTGGCCTCCCAGCCTGCCTTTTGTCGAGGAATGAATGGCATGTGCCCGCTTCGGGACTCGGGCATCTTTATTGAGGAAGGAGGTGCTCCCTAGGCTGGCCCCTCTGAGCGCAGGGTAGAAGGGGTGGCCAAGTTCTTTTCCACCTCCATCAGGATCGCCACCCTCCCCAAGCACGAACCAGGCAGGCAGGAGCAAAGCTGGACTTTGCTCCTGAGGAGGTGACACGGCCGTTGGTGTCCCCGAGAGCAGGCTTCAGCCCTCCCCCTCACTGTCTTCTGCTAATACCGGGTTGGGCTCACAGGGGGGTTCCGTCGGGGCCAATACTGAGCCGAAGAACAAGGAACGGAACTAGGACCAGAGAGAAAAGCAGCATTGAGAACAGGCCGTGCACCAAGCTGGGCCACAAGCGCCAGAGCGGAAGAGCCCGCCTCCCCGTGCCCCCTGGGGAAAAGACAAGGGACCATTCGTTCACCTTTTTTAGGGGAGGGGTCCCAGGCACCACATTGGGCTCTGCCTCCTCTTCTTCAGACAGAGGAGAAGGGGTGCGGGGGGCCGCCATTGCCCCTTCACACACAGTAGTTTCCACGGCGATCATGTAAGAGTCAATGTCGTCACTGGCAAAGTCGTCCAGGTGTGCTGTGCTGAGGGGGGAAGGCCCAGAGCTGAGGATGGGGTGTTTGGCCGGCTCTCCCTGAAAAGCACCCCACCCACTGGTGTCACCAGGCTTTAACTGAACTCGGGAAGAGGACAGGTCCTGGAGGCAGGAGGCTGGACCAGAGCTAGGCCACAGGGTCCTATGTGTCCCGTGTGCCGTGACCGGAAGGCCTCAGTCTGGACGGTGGCTAAGGCCAGCCCTGCCCCCGCTAAGGAGGGGGGGATGCCGAGGACAGCCTTCCTCACCTGTGAGCCCCCTGCCCAGGTCGGCAAGGCTCCTGAGAGCAGAGGTCAGGCTCAGAGAGGGTGGCCAGGACAAAGTGGCCGTCCAGCAGGGAATCCTCAATGGTGAAGATGGCCGGCCTGGTGGGGAGGGATGAGAACCACGCTTGGCCACTTGGCATGAGCAGAGGGCTCCTGCCCCTTCCCACAATCTCTCCCTGCCCTGCCCTGAGCTGCGCCCAGTTCCCGCCCGTCTGAAGGGCAGACGGGGAAGAGTCCAGGGTACCTGCCAGGAACGTCAAAGTGGATGTTGAGGGGCAGGTTGGCAGACTCCGCAAAACTCAGGAGACCCTGGAAGAACAGACGCGGACGTCAGAGCGGGGCTGGTGCAGGGACGGGTCAGGCGGGGTGGGGGCTGAGGGGGGCCTCACCCGAAACTCCTTGAGGCAGAAAGTGATGGCCGCTCCCTCCTGGGCCCGCAGCTGCTGGAATTCCTCCTCGCTGAGGCTCATCTCAGTCATCATGGCCTTGGCAGCATCTTGGGGCAGGACGCGAGGCCTCTATCCCAGCCCCCCAACCCACCGCGGCACCCCAACGGCTCTCCCGAGGAGAAGCCCGCTTCCCCCGCCCTCCTCCCTGGCTCACCTGTGTCCTCCTCCAGGTAGCTCCGGAAGACGACTCTGCGGCCCCGGCTCACGCCCAGCGTCACCTCTGAGAGCGCTGGGGAGAAGGGCGCCACAGCCTCCACCAACACCCTGTCCAGAGGCACAAGGGGCCCGGGCTGCTCAGCCCCGGCCCACCCTGCCGGAGCCCAAGTGCCGCTGGTGGGTCAGAGGTCGGAGGGACTGCCCGCGTAGGAACGGGACAGCAGGAAAGGGCATCCCGAATGGCCCATTTTACAGATGGGAAAAGCAGCCCCAAGGGGGAGGTCGCTCACCCTGGCCGCCCCCGCCCCCCCAGCTCACCGGGCCGGGGCGCGGAGCAGGTGCGGGCACTGGGCCGGGTCGAAGATGGCCTGGAGGGACTCGCACTCCTGGAAGGCCAGGTTGTACGTCTTGGTCACACCTGGGGGGCGCGGCAGCACGTGATGAGTGGGGGGGGGCACGGCGCTTTGGGCCCCGCCCCCTCCCCGCCCGCCCCGCACCCACCGTGCTTGCAGTGCAGCTGGATGACCAGGCGGCTGCTCTCGGGGCTCAGGGCGATGCAGCAGCGCTCCACCGTCTTCTCCAGCGCCGCCAGCGAGCGGAACACGGACAGGAAGGACTGGCGGGGGGCACGGCGCGGCCATCAGCGCGGCGGCGGGCGCGCCCCCGCCCCACCCCTCCCCCGGCCCGCCTCGAGCCCCCACCTTCATGAGGACCTTGCAGCGCGGCGGCTGCGCCTGCGGGGGCCGGGCCGCCTGGTAGCGCTGGAAGAAGAGCGGTGCGAAGAGAAAGCACGCGAAGGCCGAGCGCGACGCGTTCACCGTGCGCAGCGAGAGCTGCGGGAGGTCAGGGGTCAGGGATCAGGGGTCAGCGCGCCCAGCCCCCCCCACCCCACCCCACCCCCTCGCTCGCGCGCCCCCTTACCCCGTTCTCCATCGGCTCGAGGTATAGCTCGTCTCCGATGCGCGACAGCGAGTGCGCGGCCTTACCCAGCACTGCGGGAGGGGAAGGGGGTCAGAGGGCAGAGGCCATGACCTCCGACCCCGCCCCGGGCGCCCTCGCCCCACGCTTACCCCGCACATTTCCCCCGGTCACGAGGCACTTCATGTCGCCCGACCCAGCCTCCCCCCGCCTCCTGCCCTAGGCCGGCCCGGCCTCGGCGCCGTAGGCCGGCTCCTTTCCCGCACACTGGGCCTCGGTGCCGTGCCGGCCCGCCTCGCCCTCTCATTGGACCGTGCGCCGCCGACGCAGGCACCTCCGTCACGTGGGCAAGAAGCCAACCTATCCTCGCCGCGGCCCGCACCACGTGACAACGACCCAGCCGAACCTCTCGTGTCACGTGACGAAACAGCCGCGCCTCCGCGGGGCGACCTCGTCACGTGACCTGAGCCGGGCTCGGGGCGACGTCGCAATGCCCCTCCTGCTCGGGGGTGTGGTCTCCGGATAGCCACGCCCCTAAAGGGTGCGTGCGCAGAGGCCTCCGTTCTCTCCACGGAGCCTTGGGTCTACTCTTTACAACGCCTGAGTCCTCCTCAAGTGCCCATCGTGCAGATTCAGAAACTGAGGCTCTAAACTGTGAAGAAACATACCCTGAGCCCTGGGAAAGGCTGTGATCGGAGTTCTCGTGCCTTTCGAAGTTATTTTTCTCAAAAATGTTATCCTTACCTATTATCTTACTATAAATTGTTCTCCTTTAGGGCAGGGGCTGTTTTTCATCCCTGTACCCTCGAACTCAGCACAGCGCCCACCATGCAGTAGGTGCTTAATAAATGCTTGTGGAAAGAATGAGGGAATGAACGAATAAATGCTAGCCCTCAAGGAAAGGTTGCTTTTTAAAAAATAGTGGCATTTGTAGATAACAGGGCAGAGACATCAGTAAATCACATTTCTCTGTCTCCCCAGCAAATGACCCCCACTTCCCAGAGGAGGTGGGGGGGCCTGGGCCTTTCCTGGGGGCTGGGGGAAGCCCCTGGCACATGACTTCTGTCTGCTCAGTGCAATCAGGGACAGGTGGGGAGGGGGCTGGAGAGCCCCTGCAGAGACTGCCACCCCTAGGCACGTTGGCTGATTTTGTCCAGGCCGAGTTCAGCCGCTCAGGGGTGGCAGTGACCACGGAGGAGCATGAGGGTGACCCTGGAGGCACGGACAAGGGGTGGAGAATCCTCCCTCAACCATCTGCTCACCTCGGGGGAAGAAGGGAGGAAGGTAGAGCCAGAGCAGGGAGGGAGGGAGGTTGAGGGAAGGACCTTCCAGAGCAATGATCCCCTTAGGGTCAAGTTGGGTTGAGTCAGTAAGCGCTCATGAGGAGCACCTCTTAGCCAGGTCTTGTGCAGAGGGATGCAAAGAAAGGCCCCAAACAACCCATTCTTCTGTGGAGAAGCACTCCAGCAGGGGTGGCAACATTCACCCAAGGAATATGCACCATAAATTGGGGACCTTCTTGGAAAGGAGGCTCAGGAGGGGGAGGGAAGCCTTCTTGAAGAAGGTAGGAAGCCAGAAGGCAGAGATGAGGTGGCAGAGTGGACCAGACACGGGGCGGCCAGAAAAAATGGCGGGAGCCCAGAAATGGAGGGTCTTGTTGGTGGAACAGCTAGGAGGCTGGGGGGGGGGGGCGGTCAGGGAGTGAGGTGTAGGGAGACAGGAAAGGGAGGAGGGGCTGGTGACGAAGGGCTAGGAATGCCAGAGAATTCATAGGGAGCCGATGGGCTTTATTGAGTAGCAGTGACAAGGGCAGACCTGAGCTTTAGAATGACCCACTTGGGAGCTAGCTAGGCTAGATTAGAGTGCTTGATGAGCATGGCGTACCTTCTTCCTGTCCTTTACCCAGAACTCTCCATCTCCTGTCTCCGTGGCTGCCCCCCATGCCTGGAACACACACTCTCCTCAACTCCGCTCTTAGACTCTAGTTTCCTTCAAGGCTTAGCTCACCTTCTGCATTGGGCATCTTCCCTGATACCCCCAGCCTCTAGTGTCCAAACCCCTCCCCACATTATCTTATATCTACTTTGTAATCCCTGTTTTAAGGGTGTGCAGTACTTAAGACTTCAGCAAAGGCAGAGACAATGAAAGGTAACCTTCAGCCCCTTTCCCTTATACTTGAAGCATTCCACACCTGGGAAAGGATTCTGAGGCCTCAGTAAATCAATGGAACATGAAAAAGCCAGCAGAGACAGTGAACTTGCCCCTAGGGCACAGACTTCTGATCCCAGCTCTTTATTTTGTATAAGACCCAACAGGAAATTCGGGAAGTGTAACTGGCCAAAGTTCTAGTGTGACCCAAGCTCTGAACCAGGAAGAAGTGTTGCATGGCACCTCTCCCCAGTCTGGCAGATGACAAACCTCACAGCAGAAGCCGCGAAGCTTCTGTCAGTCTCCAGATAAAGGTCTCTACCCTGTCTGAAGGAGCCCAGTATCACTCAGCCAAGCTTGAGCTGGAGACAGTGGAGGCTGGGGTTGCCCGTGGTGGGGTCCACTGGACTGGCACTACCCTGGGCACCATCCTGCCCAGTCCTACGTGGTAGCAGATGGACCCCTCCAGTGGAAGCACCACACCCTTCATTGAAATGCCCTGTCCTGCAGGGATCCTGTCCGTCGTTGTGCCCACTCCTGAACGCTTAGGTAGGCCCTTCCATTCTGGAGTTGTGAGTTGCCTACCACATGTGTTCCTGCACACACACCTGTCTACATTGTGCTTTGTTTGTGATCACTCTGCCATAAGGAAGCACACTAGTGGGGGCTCATGAACTGTGACATTAGTAGTCACCCTTAGAATCAATGAGAAAAAGGGGGAAGGAAGCCCCAACCCCAACCCTTGTCTTGCAATAGCACTTCTCAAATTATACTCCAACAATCTGGCCAGAGAAGTCAATGGAAGGAACAGGTTAGGTGCGCAGTACACAGAAGCCAATAGGCACAATATCCTGGTCTTTGATAAGCCCAAAGATCCCAGCTACTGGGGCAAGAACTCACTATTAAATAAAAACTGTTGGGAAAATTGGAAAGTAGTCCGGCAGAAGCTAAGATACAGACCAACATCTCACACCATACACAAAGATAAACTCCAAATAGGTGTGTAACAGACACGAAGGGTGACATCATAGAGAAGCGTAGAAGAAATTACCTGTCAGATCTGTGGATGGGGGAAAAGGTCATTACCAAACAAGAGATAGAGAGGTTTACAGGAAGGAAAATGGATAATTTTGATTGCATAAATCAAAAAGGTTTTGCACAAACATAATCAAAAATCTTTGCAGCAAATTTCTCTGATAAAGGTTGCATCTCTAAGGTATATAGAGAACTGAGCCAAATTAAAAAGAATCATTTTCAAATTGATAAATAGTCAGTGGATAGAGCGCTGGGTTTGGAATCAGGAAGACTCATCTTCCTGAGTTCAAATCTGGCCTCAGGCACCAGCTGTGTGACCTTGGGCAAGTCACTTGACCTGTTTGCCTCAGTTTCTTCATCTCTAAAATGATCTAGAGAAGGAAATGGCAAACCACTCTAGTATCTCTGCCAAGAAAACCCCCAAAGGGGTCGGAGAGAGTCAGACACAACGGAACAATGACAAAGGATGTGAAGAGGTTATTTTCAGATAGCCATTTTAAATAATGCTCTTGGGGCAGCTAGGTAGCGCAGTGGATAGAGCACTGGTCCTGGATTCAGAAGGACCTGAGTTCAAATCTGGCCTCAGACATGTAACACTTACTAGCTAGCTGTGTGACCCTGGGCAAGTCACTTAACCCCATTGCCCCCAAAATAAATAAATAAATAAACTTAAATTATATAATGCTCTTGATCACTAATAATTAGAAAAATGCAAATTATAAATTAAAACAACTCTGAGATGCCACCTCACACTCCTCAGTTTGGCTAAGCTGACAAAAAAAGGGAAATGACAAATGCTGGTAAAAAGCAGGTAATTAAATACACACCACTGGTGTTGTGAACTGCACTAATCAATCTGGAAAGCAATTTGGAACTCTATAAAACTGTGCCTATTTTTTGACCTAGCCATACTGATACTAAAGAGATCAAAGAAAGAGGGAAAAGACCCATATGTACAAGAAAATTTCTAGCAGCTTTTTTTGTGGTGGCAAAGAACTGGAAACTGAGGGCATGCCCATCAGCTGGGGAGTGGCTGAACAAATCTTGGTATATGATCGTGGTGGGATATTATTGTGCTACAAGAAATGAAGAAAGGGGACGGAGCCAAGATGGTGGTGTGAAAGCAGGGACTCACCTGAGCTCTCCCTCAAAGCCCTTCAAATACCTTTAAAAAGTGACTCTGGACTAATCCTAGAGCAGCAGAACCCACAAAGAGACAGAATGAGGCAGATTTCCAGTCCAAGACAACCTGGAAGGTAGACAGGAAGGGTCTGTTGCACTGAGCTGAGAGAGGAGCGCAGCCTAGCGCAGTCTGAGTGAGCACAGACCGGCTCCCAGCAGCCCCGGGGACTGAATTATGGGCAGCAGTGGTGGTTCGGGGACTTCTCAACCCACAAATGCCAAAGACAACTTGGAAGGTCCGTAGCAAAGGTCTGTCAGACCTGGGTGGGAGGGGAGCGCGGTCCAGCCTCAGCCCCAGCAAATCAGGAGCAGGCCGTGGGAATGACTGAATCGGAAGCAGCCTCGGCTGCTCCTGGAGCTATCAGCCCACAGATGGAATATTTGAAAGTCACCTATTTCAACTTCCAGGAGCCAAGATGGCAGAGTAAGCAGTCAGTCACTCTCATCCTCCCTTATTGTCCTTGAAAAACCCAGAGAATATCGCCCCAGGAAAAATCCTGGAATAGTAGAGGCAGCAGAAAGAGGAGATATAGCAGTCTTTTAGCTCAGGAGGCTAGGGGGGTTAACAGGAAAGGTCCCTCTTGCTGTGGCTGAAGGGGGCGGGTATGGGACGGGAGGTGTCCCAGCAAGCCCCTCTTCAGCAAACCACCAGGAGATCCTGAGCCCCAGGGTGGTGGAGCAGGCACACAACAGCCACCACCACCACCAGCTCCAGCTCAGCACCAGGTAAACTATCAGATGCCTACAGCCTCCAACTGCCAGCACCTGAGGCCCCAGCACACAAAACCAATAACCCAAGAAGCCTGGGTCAGTGCCCCTGTGCCCCAGAAGTAGAGACCAACTTTAAAAGCCAGGAAAAAGGCAAACGACATGAGCAAAA